GGTTTCACCATGTTGGCCAGGCTAGTCTCAAACTCCTGACCTTAGGTGATCCGCCTGCCTTGGCCTCCTAAAGTGCTGGGATGACAGGTGTGAGCCGCCAGGCCCAGGCTTTTGAGACAGGGTCTCACTCTGCCACCCAGGATAGAGTACACTGCGCCATCGTAGCTCACTGCAGCCTTGCTTCTGGCTCTACCAATCTTCCCACCTGAGCTTCCTGAGTTGCTGAGACCACAGGTGTGTGCCACCATGCCCAGCTAATTTTTGTAGAGATGGGCTCTTACTGTGTTGCCCAGACTGGTCTCCAACTCCTGGGCTCAAGCGATTCTCCCACCTCAGCCTTCCAAAGTGCTGGGATTATAGGCATGAGTCGCTGTGCTTGGCTTTGATCTGTGCTTCAGAGATGGTTGTTTCTTTTTTTTTTTTTTGAATTATGGTTAAATATGTTCCCTAAAAGTTTTAAAGAATTCAGGCTGGGTGCGGTGGCTCATGCCTGTAATCCCCTAGCACTTTGGGAGGCCGAGGCAGGTGGATCACGAGGGTCAGGGGTTCAAGACCAGCCTGGCCAACATGGTGAAACCTCATCTCTACGAAAAATACAAAAATTAGCTGGGCGTGGTAGCACATGCCTGTAATCCCAGCTACTCGGGAGGCTGAGGCAGAATTGCTTGAACTGGGACCTGGGAGGCGGAGGTTGCAGTGAGCCAAGATTGCACCACTGCACTCCAGCCTGAATTACAGAGCGAGACTCCATCTCCCAAAAAAAGAAAAAAAAGTTTTAAAGAATTCACATGGAAACAAATAGGTCTGCCTCATTTTTAGGGAAATGTTTTGCTAACTTGACTCTTCTACAGTTGCTGGTTTTTTGAAGTGTTTTCCTCCTTCTGGGACAATTTAGGCAATTTTTTTTTTTTTTAACAAACTGGGTCTCACTATATTGCCTAAGCTGGTCTCGAACTCCTAGAGTCATGCAATTCTCTCACCTTGGCCTTCCAAATGGTGAGATTACAGGAGTGAGCCCCCGTGCCTGGCTTTTTTTTTTTTTTTTTTTTTTTTAAATCCCAAGAGGGCATCTTGCTCTGATACCCAGGCTGGGGTCCGGTGGCATGATCATAGCTCACTGCAGCTGACCTCCCGCTCAAGCCACCCTCTCTGGTCAACCTCCTGAGTAGCTGGGACTACAGATGCATAACACCGTGACTGGCTTATTTTAAGTTTTATAGAAATGGGGGTCTCATTCTGTTGCCCAGATTAATCTCAAACTCGTAGCTTCAAGCGATCCTCCCTTCTCAACTCCAAAGGTACTGGGATTACAGTTGTGAGCCACAGTGTCTGGCTTTTTTTTTTTTTTTTTAAGATGGAATCTCGCTGTGTTGCCCAGGCTGGAGTGCAATGGCGTGACATAGGCTTACTGCAACCTCCGCTGATTCTCCTGTCTCAGCCTCCCAAGCAGATGGGACTATAGGTGTACGTCATCACGCCCAGCTAATTTTTGTATTTTTAGTAGAGACCGGGTTTTGCCATGTTGGTCAGGCTGGTCTTGAACTCCTAACCTCGTGATCCACCTGCCTCGGCCTACCAAAGTGCTTGGATTATAGACGTGAGTCACTGCACCAGGCCCTATTAAGTATTTTAAAGGCAAGACATGGAATTAAGAGTTGGTAACTTTCTGCCCTTTTATCTGGAAGCCCCATATCTTATGTTCAGAAAAACAAAATAAGTATATTAAAAAATGCAAGTGAATGTGCCCAAAGGAAAACATAATTCTGGAAAAACACTCAACAGCTGTATTTTAGGAGGTAGCAATGGCTCAAAGAAACAGGAGGGCCAGAGAAGAACACAGACCGGCTTGAAACATGATTTAGTAGTATCAGGGGACGAGGCCAGTTCTATTTTTGGATGTTCCATGTGCTTCAGGATGGGGAAGAGCATCTTGGCCAAAACATCTCTAGCAAGATAACTATATACCATATAACTTGCCTGCCGAAGTAAAATTAAACATAAAAATACACACAAAAATAGGCTGACAAATTCTAGATTACCTAATGTGAGAAGATCAAATGAGCTAAACATGTATGGTTAAGTCACATTTAATATTAATCTGTCTATAAAAACTCAGTTTAGCTAGCACCTAGTTTCTTCCCTCTCAAGAGAGTTAACCAAAAAAATTAGGAAAAGTATAATGAACAGACTGAGTCAAAAAACATTTTCTGTTAAAGTGAAGCTCATACAAAGAAACGCTGCAAATGCCACTTTTCTAATAATAGTTGTATCTGCTGTCAGTAGTCACACTGGAGATGTCACACTGGATCAAGATTCTGGCACACCCAACCTTCCCGTCTATCTTAAGTCACATTATCTATAGACTCCAGCTCAGGAAAGCGGGGCTAAGCCAGAGGGTCTGTTTAGAGGTGGCCCCTGGATCAAAGCACAGGCAGTATGGAGGCAGGCAGCTTATGGTGCAATGTGGGGTGGAAGGCTGTGCTGGGCTGGATTCCTCTCTTGGAAATTTAGAAGAATGAGAAATGTGTGTCAATTGGAAAGAGATGACAGAGAGTAGCTCAGTGAGTTGAGTCTGATACCTGCCTGGGTGCAGCAGCTCATGCCTGCAGTCTCAGCACTTTGGGAGGCTGAGGCGGGCAGATCACGAGGTCAGGAGTTCGGGACCAGCATGGTAGACATTGTGAAATCCCATCTTTACTAAAAGTACAAAAATTAGCTGGACGTGGTGGTGCGTGCTTGCAATCCCAGCTACTTGGGAGGCTGAGGCAGGAGAATCGCTTGAACCCAGGAGATGGAGGTTGCAGTGGGCCAAGATCACACTACCACACTTCAGCCTCGGTAACAGAGCAACACTTCATCTCAAAAAAAAAAAAAAAAAAGAAAAAGGGCGGGGGGGAAAAAGCCGGGCACAGTGGCTCACGCCTGTAATCCCAGCACTTTGGGAGGCCTAGGCGGGCAGATCACCTGAGGTTGGGAATTCGAGATCAGCCTGACCGACATGGAGAAACTCCATCTCTACTAAAAATACAAAATTATCCAGGCGTGGTGGCACATGCCTGTAATCCCAGCTACTTGGGAGGCTGAGGCAGGAGAATCGCTTGGACCCGGGAGGCGGAGGTTACAGTGAGCCGAGATTGCTCCATTGCACTCCAACCCCGGGCAACAAGAGCAAAACTGTCTCAAAAAGAAAAAAAGTTTGATACCTTACTCAGCTACAGGTTCTCTTCTTTCTGCAGTCTGGTTTAACTCTTTTTTTCTGCCCTCCCTAAGGAAAAACTATACAGCTTTCTCTGGATTCTTGTGCGTGTACCTGCTTTGTCTTGAGACAGTGTTTCACCCAGGCTGGAGTGCAGTGCTGCAACCTTGGCCACTCACTGCCACTTTTGCCTCCAGGGCTGAAGCGATTCTCCTGCCTTGGCCTCTCAGGTAGCTGGGACTACCGGCGCACACCACTGTACTCGGCTAATGTTTGTATTTTGTCACGTTGCCCAGGCTGGTCTTGAATTCCTGACCTTAGGTGATCTGCCCACCTCTGCCTTCTGAGGTGCTGGGATTACAGGCGTGAGCCACAGTGCCAGGCCTCTTGTATATGTATCTTTATAACAAACTTGCTATTACTATTTATTTAAGACAGTTTTCCTTCATAACCAAAAAATCTCAGGTCAGGTGTGGTGGCTCATGCCTGTAATCCCAGCACTTGGGAAGGCTTAGGTGGGGAACTGCTTGAGCCCAGGGGTTTAAGACCAGCCTGGGCCACATAGCAAGTCTCTATCTCTATTAAAAAAAAATTAAGGCCCAGTGAAGTGGCTCACTCTTGTAACCAGCAATTTGGGAGGCCAAGGCGGGTGGATAACCCAAAGTTGGGACTTTGAGACCAGTCTGACCAACACGGTGAAACCCTGTCTCTACTGAAAATACAAAATTAGCCAGGCATGGTGGTACATGCCTGTAATCCCAGCTACTCAGGAGGCTGAGGCAGAAGAATTGCTTGAACCTTCGAGGTGGAGGCTGCGGTGACCTGAGATGGCGCCACTGCACTCCAGCTTGGGCGACAAGAGAGAAACTCCACCTCAAAAAAAAATTTTTTTTTAAAAAGTCTGGCAGCAGTGGCTCACGCGTGTAATCTTAGCACTTTGGGAGGCAAACGAGGGTGGACTGCCTGAAGCCAGAAGTTCAAGTTCCACTTAGCCAATATGGCAAAATCCCATCTCTACTAAAAACACACAAAAATTAGCCAGGTGTGGTGGCGCATGCCTGTAATCCTAGCTACTTGGGAGGCTGAGGCACGAGAATCGTTTGAACCTGAGAGGTGGAGGTTACAGTGAGCTGAACTGCACCACTGCACTCCAGCCTGGGGGACAGAGAAAGACTCTGTCTCAAAAAAATAAATTAAAAAAATATTTTTCAGTAATATGGACTTTTACAATAATTTTTACAAACACAGCTTTACACAACTCTATAAAGTTAGCTGGGATAAAACTACTCATTTTGCAGATGAGAAAACCAAGGCAGAATGGTATCAAATTATTTTTTTTTGAGACGGGGTCGAAAAACCCCTCGGCTGTCGCCAAGCTGGAGTGCAGCGGTGCTGTCGAGGCGCACTGTAACCTCCGCCTCCCAGGCTCAAGCGATTCTCCTGCCTCAGCCTCCCGAGTAGCTTGGACTATAGGCACATTGTACCACCATGATCAGCTAATTTTTTTTTTTTTTGGTATTTTTAGAAAAGACGGGGTTTTACCATGTTGGCCAGGATGGTCTCGATCTCTGGACCTCATGATCCACCCGCCTCAGCCTCCCAAAGTGCTGGGATTATAGGCATAAGCCACTGCACCCGGCTGGTCATATAGCTTCTCAATGTCATAATAAACAAGGCAGCTTAGTGACCCCATTAGCTCACTGATTTGTTTGAATCCTACTATTTTCCTTTGCAATTCTTTCTTCTCAAACACCTGCTCCATCAAGACTAACAGTGTCAGCAGGCAGGTCAGTTTCCCTCTTACCTGTGTGCTGTATGGTGGTTATCGCCTGGGCGTTACACTGTAGCTGGAGCATGTGTCGGAGCATCGCCACACCCCAAACAGTCACGTCTGGACACAACTCAGGCGCCGCTGCTGCTTTCAGCCGGGAGGAGTCTGCACCTGTTGCGACAGCCTGGAAACTGGCTGCTTCTAGCTGCCTGCACAGTGCAGAAACACAGAGTGCACAGAGGAATTTGTGCTCTGGGCTATGGTTTTCAGTATGGGGCAAAAGGTTGAAGACAGCCTGATAATTACTTTCATACTTCCCATTAACATCGCATCCAGGAATTGGGGTCTCAACAATTTTGCCATTTTTCTCAATCTCCCCTAGGCCAGAATTAAGTGTCTTAACCCGACTGTTGCTTTCAGGTAAATAGATGTCCTTATTACTAACCTCATCACAAAGCTTCCTGATTTTGCTAACATCCTCAAATCCCACCAAAAGAGTCAACCTCAGGGCAATGTGGCAAAACACACCCAGTGTGAGCAGCAGCCCACCTAGAGGACATTCTATCCTATGGTAGAGCTCCCAGGCCTGCCGCAAACACTCTTGGCTGCAATACTTGGCATAGCTGCATCCATCACAGGGAACTGTGGCCAAAGTGTGCTTCAAACATCGGTGACAGTAGAGGTCCCCATTGGTAACTCTGGTGTCCCATTTGCTGTCTAGGCTGTGATGCAGTGGTGGCAGTTCTCCTGGGTTAAGAACACTCACAAAAGCATCCTCCTTCACCAGAGGCTCTCCTGGGAGAATCTCTCTTGTGGCGACGAGACAGCGACCTTTTAAAGGATCCATGCATAAGCCGACAGATGATGAGGCGTTGGAAAGTTGTTTATTCTCTTCTCCTAGGTCCACACCCTCAAGGGTTTTTGCCAGAGCTGCCGGGAAGGTTTCTGGGAGATTCTCCTTTTCTTGTACTTTCATTTTCAGATGATGGAGGTTTCTCTGCACACTCTGAGAGGGGAAATCTGCTAGGGTTGGGCTGGCAGGGAAGTTCCTTTCAAGATCACTGATGGTCCGGCGCGCCTCCTGTAGTCTCCCCAGGGCCACCAGACATTCTGCTTTACGTAACATTATCTTGGGTTGCAATCTTTCTGGATACCCATGCGTCTGTGCTCTAATAATGTCTTTAAGGCACGTCTGAAAACAGAAAGAAAATCCCAGAATGACCCTTCGTCCCTATTCTTCAATGTTTACTAAAAATGTTTCCAAAAACCTACAGGAAAGTTAAGGATTATTAAAAATGGAACAAGTACAACTATGTGCTTTTAAATATATTTCTGTGTGATCTTTTGAGTGATTAGCAATAGTTGTTGAAGATATTGTTATGCTTAATGTTCTTATTAAATATTTCTACTTTTAAGGGAAGAAAAACTTTTGCATAGAAGAATTATAGTATAATGACTAAGAGGCAGGCTTTGAGGCCAAGCAGACCTGCACTCAGATACACTGTGCCTCTTACTAGCCACATGATCTTGTGCAATCGACTTAATTTCTCAGTGTCTTAATTTTATCTAAAGAACAGTGGCCGGGCGCGGTGGCTCAAGCCTGTAATCCCAGCACTTTGGGAGGCCGAGGCGGGTGGATCATGAGGTCAAGAGATCAAGACCATCCTGGTCAACACGGTGAAACCCCGTCTCTACTAAAAATACAAAAAATTAGCTGGGCATGGTGGCGCGTGCCTGTAGTCCCAGCTGCTCAGGAGGCTGAGGCAGGAGAATTGCCTGAACCCAGGAGGTGGAGGTTGCGGTGAGCCGAGATCGCGCCATTGCACTCCAGCCTGGGTGCCTGGAGCCAAAGAAGGTTTAGGCCCAAAAAAAAAAAAAAAAAAAGAACAGTGGTAATAATATCTCACAGGGTTAAGGACAAAATGAAATAATATATCTAACGTGGCAAAAGGAATATAGTATGTGCTTAATAAATGGTAATCGTTATTAGAAGAGGGAAAACATCTGGGCATGGTGGGCTCACACCTGTAATCCCAGCATTATGGGAGACCGAGCGGGGAGGATCACTTGAGTCCAGGAGTTCGAGACCAGCCTGGGCAACATAGGCAAGCTCCTGGGCTCTACAAAAAATTACGAAATTAGCCAGGCCTGGTGGCATTCCCCTATAGCCCTAGCTACTCAGGAGGCTAAGGCAGGAAGATTGCTTGAGCCCAGGAGTTCGAGGTTACAGTCAGCTGTGATCATGTCACTGCACTCCAGCCTGGGTGACAGAGACCCTGTCTTAAAAAAAAGGAAAACAGAAACAATCAATACAGAAAAGTTGTAAAGGGTTAAATGTTTCACAAGTTCTTCTTCCTAATCACTGGACCTGGTAGTCCAGGACTTTCTTGCTTAGGATCTAGAGCTAGATCCCTACATTTCTCTTTTACTCTACAGGCAAGTGTGGACTTCTTACTATTCCAATAGTTCTAAACTAGAGGATATAATTTGAATTTTTGTAGAATTCCAAAACAGATGTATCAAAATGGCATTTTAGAGCTTGTTCGTAGACCTCTCTACTATAAATTCCAGATGCCTCAGAGGTATCTTCCTAAAACATTAATCTGATCTTGATCACTTCCTGTTTTAAAAATTCCACTGACACAGCCCTCCACTTTTTTTCTCTTGCCACAATCAGGGGATGAGAAGGATGCCAGTCATAGAAAGCCCATCTCACAGGCACACACAGGGATTTCAAGTTAGCTTCCACTTTCCACTCATGACACTTTTTTTTTTTTGAGATGGAGTTTCGCTCTTGTTACCCAGGCTGGAGTGCAATGGCGTGATCTCGGCTCACCGCAGCCTCTGCCTCCTGGGTTCAGGCAATTCTCCTGCCTCAGCCTCCTGAGTAGCTGGGATTACAGGCACGCACCACCATGCCCAGCTAATTTTTTGTAGTTTTAGTAGAGACGGGGTTTCACCATGTTGACCAGGATGGTCTCGATCTCTTGACCTTGTGATCCACCCGCCTCGGCCTCCCAAAGTGCTGGGATTACAGGCTTGAGCCACCGCGCCCGGCCTTCATGACACTTATTAAGGCAGAGCTATATTACCACAGGGAAAATCTTGAACATACTCTACTTAAAGAAGCAAACAGTATACTTTGCAAACACTTGGAGCCTAAAGTATTAGTAGCAATATATATCACAGCTGATCTTGACACTGAGCACTGCTGACCTACTGGATACAGTCCATATGCCCATGGGATGTCCCATAGCTCTTTTCTTTCTTTCTTTTTTTTTTTTTTTTTTTTTTGAGACAGAGTCTTCTGTTGCCCAAGCTGGAGTGTAGTGGCATGATCTCTGCTCACCATAACCTCCACCTCCCAGGTTCAAGCGATTCTCCTGCCTCAGCCTCCTACGTAGCTGGGACTTACAGGTGCCTGCCACCATACATGGCTAATTTTTATCCCTGTATTTTTAGTAGAGACGGGGTTTCACCATGTTGGCCAGTGTGGTCTCCAACTCCTGCCCTCAGGTGATCTGCCCGCCTCAGCTCCACAATGTGATAGGAGGTGTGGGCCCCTGGCCCGAGTTTAGGTAGATATTAATGTGCTTCCAATTCAGCCAGCTGCAGCAGGACCTATTTTAGTGTTCTCAGGAAGAAGCAGAGACGAAGGTCTAGTCCTCCAGTGAAGACCCTAGAATCCCCCCCAGTCACACCAGGCACCCTCACACTCACCTCGTACTGACCCAGGTGGAAGAGGGCTGCCGAGCGGTTAGCGTAACACAGTGACATGTCCTCAGTGTTAGGCCTTGAATGTGACACTCCCTGCAAAACAATGAACTGGCTGCAGGTACAAATGGAAACCAGCGTCTCTAAAGTACCTATTTCAGATATTAGGGGCTCTGCTACTAAAGACTGTATGAGGCCAGGCATGGTGGCTCATGCCTATAATCCAAGCACTTTGGAGGCCAAGGCGGGCTGATCACCTGAGGTCGGGAGCTCAAGACCAGCCTGACCAACATGGTGAAACCCCGTCTTTTTTTTTTTTTTTTTTTTTTTTTTGAGACGGAGTTTCGCTCTTGTTACCCAGGCTGGAGTGCAATGGCACGATCTCGGCTCACCGCAACCTCCGCCTCCTGGGTTCAGGCAATTCTCCTGCCTCAGCCTCCTGAGTAGCTGGGATTACAGGCACGCGCCACCATGCCCAGCTGATTTTTTGTATTTTTAGTAGAGACGGGGTTTCACCATGTTGACCAGGATGGTCTCGATCCCTTGACCTCGTGATCCACCCGCCTCGGCCTCCCAAAGTGCTGGGATTACAGGCTTGAGCCACCGCGCCCGGCCGAAACCCCGTCTTTAAAAAAAAAAAAAAAAAAAAAA